AATTCAACCCTGTCTGTTAGATCCAGTAAATTTCAAAGTGGAAAATCATTTTTCCAATAAAACTACACTTAGAAAAAAACGATGTTAATGTGCATACATTCTACCCTCATTAGGACATCAACCTCCAAGCCAAACTATTTTGCACATTATAAAGAGCTGTTTTTATGATGGATGGTGATTATATTGACACTTTAATTGAGTCAGAAACCAAGGTATGTGAATGTTAGTGCATGAGAAATGCAATTAAAAAACAGCTGTTCAATGTGATTGGAATATATCAGATTAATTTAACACCACCGTTAAATACTTCAAATCCATACCTTTAAACATGTTTAATCAAATCATTGAATTAAGTATTTACATGCATATATACATATACACATATTGCCCCTCAATAAAAAAGTATCTCCTTCTCTAGTAGTTAGTTTCCTATCACATTCTTAACAGATCTCACTTATAATTAATTTAGATTTCAGGTTTGTGATCAAAATTCTTTTTTTGTCACAGAAATGGAAACATAGCCTTCTTATATTCAAATATAGTAATCCAGGAGATTAGCACATAGTTGGATAAAATGATGTAATCTAAAAAAAAAACACGTTATACAATAGAGTTTTTCACTAAAATATTGGTAAAAATTTTTCAGCCACATTTAACTATTTATTTAATTTAGTCTAGTTCAAATTTGGCCATCATTGAAAAAAAACAACTTAATTCATGTGCCCTTAAAATTAGTACTTGCATTTGATCGATTTAGTATTCAGCAAATTAAAGAGAGTTTATTTTAATTTTGGCCTTGTGGTTTCCTTAAGGTCAAGCTGCGGTTTTAGAGAAAGAATATAGTATTTAAATTACTTAGTCAAACTGGTGGCCTTGAGACAAGTCAGAAGTCTATATATTTTCTGAAAATGAGGTGTCCTGTATTGTACCCTTTTCCAGTTCAATCAAAAAAGTAGAATGGTCAGCATAAGAGTTAATGCAGGGAGTATGGATTTTTAAGTCATAATTGGGATGAGTGTTTTGAGGAATTAAGTTACCCAAATCATGTTGTGGTTTTAGCGCACTACAATATTAGTGTTGTAAAGCACACGTTAAATCATTCGTGTCAATTATACTTGGCTGTGAATGAATCCAGGGGTTCCTTTGTTATAAATTACCATTTCCTATAATGCTTTTGCAGAGAGGCAGTGAAACACTTTTAGATTTTGAATGTTTAAAGAGCTGCTCTTGCCAGTTAATTTTGAGCCAGCTCAAATGTTTATAAGAGCTCATAAAACAAAGCAAAGTTGAGGATGGCCCGTTTTCTGTTACTCCATCATCTTCCCACTGAAATTTTCCTTTGGTTCTTAGGTGTTGCCGCCGCCACGGTGAACTTTTACATACAGTCTCTTGGTACTGCTAGTACCCACTCCCATTTTCAGCATGCAACATTAACATAAAAACTACAACTATTTTTGTGGCTGTAGGAAAATCCCAGATTCCCCAGGTAGCGTCACATGAGAAGGTGTTGACGCAAGAAATGTCCAAACCTGTAGAGAATTTTTATGAGTTGATATGAGCCAAACTGATGACAATTGCTGGGAAGGAAATTCTGAGCAGATTGAGAAAATGCTCCAGAGAATGGCAGCTTTGCAGCTTACTTTGTTCATTAGAATCGAAGGAGACGTATGGGAGGTTACGTGAAATCCATTGATGGTAGAATAGGGAGGCTGGTGAAAGCAAAGCAGGGGAATCTCTGGGACCGGATAAGAAGATAATATGGAGAAACATATTTCTTTTACATTGGTGGCTGTCGGATAGTTGACAATGAACATTCACAGCACAGGGAGATGGTATTCAGGAATCAAGATGACAATGAGGGGTTCTGTGCTTTCTGGCTCTGGTGGAGGTTGTGCCCTGAGGGTCTGAAAAAGATCTCTTTGACATTTCAAAGGTATGTTATTTTAGATACAAAAAGACAACAGACTGGCTCACTTAAGGTAAACACTGACCTTTGTCAAGGAAGCTAACAGGCCTAGGTCGTGACTGCCACTATGACCCACTTTTCGGTAGGAATTTTTATGTTCAGGCCATCCTATGTGATTACTTTCAGTCTCTGGAGTTCCTAAGGCCACTACGCAGGCCTCGCTTGAGCTTGTGAGGTTTAGTATGTGACCCCTTTTTCAGCCACAGAGGTATATCTTAACATAACGTAGAGAAGGGCAATAGGCATTGTCTGTCTTCACAGCTTGAAGCCAGAGGAGGGTTATGAAATTTTTCCGGCACATTGTGTGGATTCACAGGTTCCTCTTGCTGGAGTGAGTTATCAGGCAAAGAGACTTGTTTGTTACTGTGGCCAGAGTTCCCAGGGAAGCCTGTAGTTTTCTTTGTTCTCTGGGTCCTTCAGGAAGACCCAGGGAGGGGCCTTTGGAAAATGGCCCTGTGACAGGTGAGATACTTTGCCGTGATCCCCCTGATGGCTAGGGTGGCTCAGGACGCCAAGACTCTACAGGTTGCCTTGGGGTTCCCGGTTCTGCCTTTCCCCGACTTCTTACTGTCCTTCTCATGACCCCATCCCACCTTTGTTTTGCTATTTGAAAATGACTAGGGGCCTGCTGGAGGTTTTGCTAGAGGCCCATGGAAATCTGACCTCAAATAAAATTTTTTGTTGTTACTGCTGAGGTTCAAAAGGAATTCTCTTTTGCATGTAGGCAGAAGGCCACTTCCAGCCAGTTCCTATCAGTTGGTCATATTTACTTGGGAGGCTGCCAGCCGCCAGTGTGATAATGGTGCTCTCTTTATGTAAATAACCACAGTAGTTGATGTTTCCACCAGCTCCAGAAGAGTTGGAAGGTTTAATCTTCACTTTCAGATGGGTCTTTCTGAACTGAGGGAGGGAGTCACTGGATGGGAGAGGAGGCCCCCAGGAGAAAACCAGAGGCGGGTCTTCTCCAAATGATTGTTGCAGCAAGTTTCCATCTCTTCAGATGCAGAGATATCTAGCAAAACAGAGTTCCAGTGAAGTCTGTTAGAAAGAAATCTGAGTTGAGCGCTTTTGGAGGTTAAGTTTGAAAAGACGTCACCATGGAGATTGCAGAGACTGGGCTGAGTTGATTAGTTCAAACTAGAAGTGGGGAGTGGGGAGTCTCGGAACAGGTGGCCCTGGATGGTCCTGGGCACCTGGCCCATCTAACGCTGTGGTAGGAGGAAGCTCCTCTGCAGGCAGCAAGGCGGGGACAGGTGCGAGCACACAATGAGGCTTTAGCTTGTGGTTTAATTAGTCTTGAAAAGTGAAAAATTGAGCTATATTGTATGTGTTCTAGAATCTGTTGGATGCCTTAATTTTCTCTAAGGTTCCTTGGCTGCGCCTCCTTCTTTTTGCCTTTATTTTTGAACACCTAAAGGCCCCAGTCTATAGATCCTTGATTATTTAGGAAGGAACCTTCCAGCACAAGAAGAACTGTCAAGAAATGGGATTTATGTTCATAGACTCAGCCTGAGAAAAGCCATTAGTCTTAGCAGCCACTTGCTAGGCGTGAATGGAGTAGGGCTCCTTGCAGGAGCAATAAATCTGCCACCAGATGTCTCTGTAGCCCACTCCACAGGAATGCTAACTATACCGGAAGGCTGTGGAAGCTGGAACCTGAGCTTTCTGGTGACTTTGCAGCGTTCCCTAACTTAATAAATTAAGCAGAAACCAACTGCTGAGGTGGGGTGGTGGTGGTGGGGGTGTGGAGGGTGTGTGTGTGTGTGTGTGTGTGTGTGTGTGTGTGTGTGTGTGTGATTTTCTCTCCCGAGCTTCCGCCGCCTCACTGGGTGTTCCCCTGACCCTTTGGTCATTTATTTCCCTGATCCCCTTTTTGAGAAGGAGGAGAGGAGCTGCAGGTGTCCCCAGAGCAGGAGATGAAGCATTGGCAAGTGAGGGCACAGACAGAGGCAGTGAGGCCTGCTCCTGCCGTATCTTACCCTAAGGTGTCTCTTTGGTGCTCTTACAATGCTAGGGACAGAGAAAGAATGTCGTTGAGTCACAGGCTCCCTGCTGCTGCTTGTGGGCCAGGGGCTGCCCCTGAGCACCAAAACAGTGATTGACCTTACTGGTTGTTTAAATTCACTTTAGAAGCTTTACAACATTTCATTGGAGGATGGGTGGGCAAGTTAATTAGGCAAATTAAAGACATATGTGAATATAGTAGATGCCTAATCTTTGAAGTAGAAGATGATGAAAAGACCCCAGTAATTAATCGCAAAGATAATTCAGGGAAAGGAAATCAGTCAGATTAGTTTGGCTAAATTTGGCATCTACTCCCATCAGACTGGTCTGTCCTGGGCCCAATGATTTAAACTGTAGCTGTCCTTTCATGTGTATCTTGGAGTGGCTACCAAATGACCTGACAGGAAATCCCTGCTGTCCCATCTTCCTACTTTAGTAGAGGAGTTAAGTGTGGTACCCTCTGCGGATGACCACACAGTTATGCAGCCTTTGGAGAACAAGGTGTCTACTCATGGGAGGCACTACCCATCTGCATTTCTGCTTTTCGTTGAGTTGTCTGGCAATAATCTTAACAGATTTTGGAATGTTTCCAAATAAAAGGCTGGGATACAAAAATAAGAATCAGTCAATGGGTGAGTTGGTATCTGAAGAAAACAAGAGAACATTTAATACAGTACAACCAGCAACGACATATGATTCAGAGTGATTCACCCACTTCATCAGATCATCACCGCTAACATCATTAGCGTCAGCGGCAACACTCTCTCTTTTATGTAGGGTGGGAGATGGGAAAGGAAGGATCATCAAATGCAGTCCTGACCTAATTCCAAAACAGATAGAGCCTTAAAGAATTGCCCGAGATTCTCTCTCCTCCCCGAAAGGTCACATATCCACATAGTATCTTGTTTTAAAAAAACTGTTGGGGATGGATTTTATGAAAATAAGAGGTGGCATCTTCACGTGGTGGCTCAGTGCTTGCAGGCCTGTTAGCAGAGCATGATCCAATAGGATTTTTTTTTTTTTTTAACAGCTTACTGAGGGCGGGGAAGAGAGGGTAGAGGTGCCCCGGGAAGATCTGCAGAGCTATAACCAGACGGAGCAGAAGGCCCCTCCTGAGGCCCCCAGCCAAGGGCTGTATTCCCTGAAGATCCGAAACACCACCAGCTGCAGCTCGGGGACGTACAGATGCACTCTGCAGGGGCCAGAAGGGCAGAGAAACGAAAGTGGCACAGTGATCTTGAAAGTGACAGGTGAGGTGATCTGTTGCCTTTGTTTTCTTCTTGCAAAATGTGTGTGGACTTTCTGTACATCTTACAATGGACCCTCTCAGTTGGAGCCTAAGTTGGAAGCTTTGGATCACATCTGTGTCTAACAGCTAAATTCTACTGTAAGAATGTCATGACTTTTTTTTTGTTTTTCCTTTAAAAAAGGACAGATCTACCCAGCCTGACTGGGGTAGATGGCAAATGTAGTCAAACAACTCATCTAGCTGTTGTTTAGTCCTGTAAGCGTCCTTTGAAGCAAATAGGAAGTATCTAAGTCTAATTTTTAGAAGGTGGAGAAATTGTGTGGTCCCCAACACCAGATAAGTATAATAATCTATTCCTTGTAACCTGGCCTCAGGTAGTTGCTTCATGTTTCCACCCTTTTAACTTGAGAACAGCACTTCCCTCCCACTTGATGGTGCTGGACTTTCCCAATACCTCAGCTCAGGCCAGAGAGAAAGAGTACAGCAAAGAAATAATGTTTCAGTGACAAAAGACCATTTTTGCTCCAAGAATCAGTTGTCAAGACAAGGATTATCTCCTTGGATTTTTTTCATAACTTCTTTATATAGCTTAAAATATGCCTTGCATTTGACTTTTGCCCAGTGCTTGCTAATGGCTGAGGCTTGAAATGACAAACATGTTGTTATCATAGAGTCCCAGATTTTTACATTTTTTCTTCCTTTCTTTTCTTTTCTTTTCCTTTCCTTTCCTTTCCTTTCCTTTCCTTTCCTTTCCTTTCCTTTCCTTTTCCTTTTCCTTTTCCTTTTTTTTTTTAAGAGAGCAGGGGAGGAAGGGAGAAAGAGAAATATTGATTGGTTGCCTTTTGTACATGTTGCAACCTGGGACCGAACCCACAGCCTAGGCATGTGCCCCTCCAACAATCGGATGGGTAACCTTTCAATTTGCAGGACAGTAGGACAATGCCCAAACAACTGAGCCACACCAGCAGGGGCCTCTGAGTTTTTAGAATAGCTATTTTTCCTATTGGGTATTTGAAAGGAATCTGACCTTAAGATAATATTCTGATACTTCAAGGACACAATCACTGTTGGTCAGCGGTTGGATTTGGTTCACTGTATCACACACAGGCACATGCGCACATACACACCCCTGATAACCCTTCTCAGTCTCTACCCCTTTACTCTGCTTTGTCTCAGTAGAACTTAACTACACCTGACATGCTACCTTCTCTGCTTTGTCTTCTGCTATATCCTGGTGCACAGTAGGCTTCCATGAATGTTATTCACACGAATAGACATGAGAGTGACTTGGCAGGAAGAGCAGAGATGAAATGAAAGAGAAAGCTGATTTTCTTTCCTCTCCTCTGCAAAGGCCTGCAGGTTGCCGGTTCAGTGGTCAGACTCTAGACTCATTTAGGCCTGGTTCAGATATTAGCTGTGTTGTTCTTTAGCATGTGATCTCGGGCTAATCTCTTTGATTCTAAGCCTTAGTTCTCTCATCTCTAAAATGGGGATGATAAGTTCTACAGCATAGGCTTGTTATGAAGGTTAAATGAGGCATTGCACCAAAATGCACAGGACAGTGCCCGGGGTAGACTCAGCGCTCAATAAATGTTAGGAACCATTAGGACAATGGCTCTCAACCTTGAAGTCTCAGATTCCTGTGAGTATCCATCCCTACACTATTGCACTAAATTTTAAATCCAGTTTTAGGGGTTGATACCTCTCTTGAGGCTCATCCATGGTCCCTGGGAAGAACCCCCCAGTCATCTGCACTCCACCTGCTCCTGCCTAGCCTTTAGGCAGACTCTGTAGACAATCTTGCTTCCCCAAATAGCACATTAGATATCATGCCTGAGTGGGGAGAGGCTGTCTCCGCCATGTCCCCTCCTGGGCTGAGCGCCTCACTCGCCCTCCCAGAGGGCTGCAACCACAGCCTGTAACAACCCCCTTGGGAGGCTGTTCTGTAGGCCACCCTTGCTATCAGCCTTGGTGGAAGAGCTTTAATGATTTTACAAGAGCGAGAGTGGGGCGGCTCACCAGCCTCATTGCACAGTCCTGCTCTCCTCCCAGTGCCAGGACACCTAGCATTCTACACAACACCAGTGAAGTAAGATTATGTTCGGATCGACAAATGGTGGTTTATCTGCTATAAAGGCAGACTAAAAGCCAGGAAACGCCACGCATTGGAAATGGAGGCAGCTGGGCAGCAGGGTAAGCCTGGACCAGACTCCTGGCCCTGCCACCTGCTGTAGTCCCTCAGCCTCTCTGAGCCTCGGCTCCTTCATCTGTAAAATGGGGACACCCAGAGCTCCTCCGAAGGTCCAGTGAGATGCTGTACGTCACACAGCTGGATTCAGAGTGAAAGTGAGCGCTGGCTGCTGCCACCCCGTCACTGCTGTTGTGGCTGCTGTTCTTCCGACAGCACAGATGTGAGGGCAGGGATAGAAGGAAGGACTTAGAAAGCGTGAACAAAGAACCTTTGCTTTTTATTCTGGTAGAAAAGAAAAGTCCTGTGAAATGGCTTCATATTTCACTTATTTTTTTTTAAGGATGCCGTAAGGAGCACAAAGAAGATACTTTTAAGAAATACAGAGCTGAGATTGTACTGCTGTTGGCTTTGGTGGTTTTTTACTTAACACTCTTCGTTTTCACTTGTGTAAGTATCTTCTTAAAAGACCTGTTTTTATTAAAAGATCACATGGGGAACCAATTCGAATGTTTTGTAGATAGTGTGAATCATTTAACAACAGGGAGAGAGAGTCTCTCTGCCCTGGGCTTATTGAAGTCCCCGGACTGTGAGAATCTTTACAGCAAGCACCCAGCTCGTGTTTTGTCATGTCGCTCTGCGCAGAGCACTGAGGTGACACACAAAGTAAGATACATGCAGGAAGTTTGAGAAATGCCAAAGGGTCCTACTGCAGCACCAGAGGGCCTTGTCATTACAGGGGCATAAAGTGTAACACTGACCATCTACCATCTGGGGCAGAAGTAGTGTTCTTGTGGGCAAGTGAACAGCAGTGAAAGATCAGTGTTCTTCACCTGCCCTTGAACTCTTTCCTCTTTGGGGTTCTCTCCTTGTGTTTTGTTACTTCTACTCACTTCTTGAGGATTAACCTTGAGAAGCCAGAGCAGTGGGGTACACAGCGAGAGTCCTGTGGTAGAGGGGGCCTGGCCAGTGCATAGGCATCGTTGACATGCCTTTGCGCTCTTGGCAGCGGCCTCCAGCTTCAAGACCCTGAGCCTCTTTCTGCCTAGCTGCTCACCTGTGTTGGCCGAAGTTGTTGGGGCACAGGGTCAGCTCTGGGCCTGACCCACTAGGGAGTGATCTTTCCCATGTGTCATCAAGAAGGGCTGGCTACTTACGGACTGGGACAGATCTCACCTAAGAGCTGTGCCAGGGCTTCCTTTTTTTTTCTTTTTGGTCACTGAGTAGGTTTATTTACTTACTTGCCTCCCTGGCCATGTACTCATCTCTCTGGTTGCTATTTTAGCTGTTAGTCAATTAAAAGACTCCAGTGAGCATCTACTGTGTACAAGGCATTAAACTAGGCACTGTAGGGGGTGTAAAGAAGTGTAGGACATAGTTCCTGCTCTCAGGGAGCTTGTAATTGGGTCTTTAGAGTTATTTGCACATAAGATAATTAGAATTACTGGGCAGTAAATTTAAGAAGTGAATGACTTTAGTTTTTTGCTGCAAATGCCTATTTCTTTGGGCACTGATTTTTCCATACAGATGATTAGCAGCAGGGTCTTGAAATGACCCTAGTCTGTAATCGGTGCATGTCCTTGTCAGAGTTGACAGATAGCAGTGAAGCAGTCCGAATTCGCTGCAGAGTGAGTGAGGTAGCCTTTAGACTGAGGGCTCCCAGAATGGAGTTTCAATCGAGGTGACAACTGATGCATTTTTCCAGTTGTTCACTTCTCATTTATCTCTTTTATTTTTCAGAAGTTTGCACGACAGACTATTTTCCCAGAGTTTTCTAAACCTGGCATGGAGCGAGCTTTTCTCCCAGTTACCTTCTCAAACAAGCATACGGAGCTTGTAACTCTTCACAAGACAGAACTGGTGTGAGCAGGATTTCTGCAGGTTGTTCTTCCTAAAGTCCAAGGCTCGGTGGTGTACCTCTGTGTCACAAAGGGCACAAGAAGGATGCACCCCACACTGAAGATGACTTTCTTCCTGTGAAGTCCTTCACCTGACCGAAACACCTGAAAGGGGATTCCACTGTACTATTTGTAACCAAGATTTTGAAAACCATTACATGACCACATAGCGTGGGGTCACCCTGCAAGGTGCTCTCCAGTGCTGTTCCTTCATAGCTACCTGCTCAGCATTTTATTCAGCTGTCTGATCAACGTCTTTGATATTTTTTTCGGTCATATAAAAGCTATGGCAAGATGCAGTTGGAAAAGGGTCTTGGGAAGTAGGAATCTCCAGAGCTGGCCCTGTGACAGACTCCTCAGGACAGCTGAACATCTGGGAAACATCTCTTTGAATTTGCTGTGTTTTCTTGGACTAGCCCAGATGTTTTATGTCTGGGAGAAATGGACAGGCCACGCTGTGAGACAGTGGGAAAGATTTAGCAAATAATTTCCCGCTGTGAAGGCTCTGCTAATACTAAGGAGTATTATGTGTACATAGAAATAACAGGCCAGTGACCTGTTCCTCAACAGGGCCTTTTCATGTGGGAAAGGCATCTATAAAGAAGTAATAAAGAAGAATGCCACTTTTATTTTTATATCTCTATATATGTTTGTCAAAGAAGGACTTATGTTTTTTCTCCTTTGAAAACCATATCTACAGTTAGATATCATTGCTAACTGATGAGAAACTTGACTGTGGAGAGTGAGAAGACACCAGGAAGAGTCACAATGGGACAGAGATCTGTTTTGTGACCTGGGGAAATACTGGACCTGTCATGCAGTTGGGTTCTAGCCCCAGTTGTTCCACTACCTGTATGATCATGGGAAAGATCCTATGGTTTCTACTGCCTCAGTTGTGAGTGAAAAGGTTGTTGTATGAGTTGATTGAAATGATGTGTTTGAAGATGCTCTGAAAAAGTATAAAGCACTATACCAATTTGAAGTGTCATTGAGTCAGTATCCTTATTGTTGCAGTACTGTTCTGGGCAGGGGAGAATGACTTTCACTTTTTATGTTTTTCATTGTTCCAAACAAAAAAATTTACAAAGGGGACTTCCCCTTGGGGACCTGAGGGGTCGGTCCAGTGGCCTGTTTTTGAAGCACCAGCCAAAAGCACTCCACGAGCCACTGGAACTTGGGGAGAAGGCAGTTCCCTTAAGTTACATCGATATTTTGGAAGTTGTGTTTTCTTATCAAATTTGGCTCTTTCCCTACTTGTTTTCCAAAGAGACTGTATACCTTTAGTAGTGTGTGCATTGCCCACACACTATTAGAGAGCAAAAGGGATGCCAAGTTGATTTAGGGTTTTTGCCTCTTTGTCTCAGCTTTCATGTTATTAAATATATCCATGTGAATAGGGAACATTTTTCTTTTTTATATTTAAAACAACTCCTAAGACTTTGGGATGAGTGCTAGGAATTCTATAAACTGGTTTGAGAACCCAAACCACAGGTAGTCTTCTAGGAATGAAAGGTAGGCTGAATTCTTCTTCAGAGAGGGTAGACATTTATGACAGGTAGACTGCTAATACATGGCACCCCCTCCTTCCCAAAGGTGCCCCAAATCCATCCTAGCATTGCATTGCCACCAGGTAGTACATGATCAACTTGACCACATGCATGACCACAGGTAGGAGTGATGGAGAGAAGCTTCAGAAGGGTGTGTAAAGTCTCGAGTTCTGTACCTGGGATTCATGGGGTTTCATCAAAAGTCTCAAATAGGTCCATTACCCCTTAAATGGTCAGAACAACTAGTGTGAGTGATTGTAATAGTTATAAAAGCATCATAGGTGAGTCCACTTTGGGAAAATGGCTCTTTATAAAGATGAATGCCCATAAAATGTTTGTAAAAGTTACAGATTCCCTTTCAGTGGAATCTAGTCATTTAAACTGCTGGAAGACTTGCTAGGGAGTCACATTGCTTTCAGAGAATTAATCTAAATGGCTTCACAGCCATTAGAATTAGAGTACCTGAATAACTAGGGAAGAGGAAGCCCTTTATCAGTTCGGGCTGACTTAGGCTTAAGTCTTAAAACTTGATGAAAATTTGAGATTGGATAGCCTCAACATTTTATACCTAATACTTGGTACGAGAGAGAGAGATGCAAGGAGGGCAGAATTTATCAAGGAGAGTCAATGTTTCCCACTGCTTCCATTAAGGCCTATCAATACCTTGATGAAGGTATTTCTTAAGAAAGTAGATGATCATAAACCATATTTATTTTTTGTCCCCACTGCCAGAGAAAATCTTCTTAGAACTACAGTTACAATAATTTAACCTTGTGATCTTGCAAGACACAAATACATGAATATACACTCCACATTCTTCCAAAAGAAGGCCTGTGGGTTTTGTTTTCATAATAATTCTTAACCGGGTTCATCACAGAAAACACAGAGCTATACTCAACAGAACCCAACAGAGCCTGATTGTTTTTGTTTGCTGGGTTCGCAGAAGAGATGTGACAGCAGCCTGTGGACACAGAGAAAGCACATGAGTCTCGTGTGTGAACCTGGGCATAGTGGAGTTGGGGATCTCAGAATAATTCTGTCTGATTCCCCAGCTCTTCTCTCATTGGCAACATCATTTGGAGGCATTACCTGGCTATTGTTTAATACTCCATTTTTCCCATGTGAAAATAGACAAAGGCCTAAAAAAATCTTAGGATGGAAGCTGTTTGCTTCAACAACAATTGTTTCCCATTATTTTGCAACTGTTCATTTGCAGAGCCAGATTTTATTTAATTCATTGGTAAGATAGAATCAATCAGTTTTTTGGTCAGAGTCTATTATTACTACTTATTGTCTTCTTGAGACTAGATATGTTTATTTCTAATTTCACCTTTAAATTGTGTGATAAAGTCCTACCTCCTGCCTTTTTGTAGCATGTGTGTTGAGTGGGTGAAGTTAATCATAAGTGTATTTGCTGAGCATACCCTCTGAAGGGAATACTGTTGTAGGCATTTTATGTAGCACTCAAAAAAAAAAAAAAAAAAAAAGACACAATCATTCCTTTCAAGGAGCTTAAAATCTAGTGGAAGGACAAAGGAACCCAGAGACATGTCCAACTACTTGTTTCACTTAACATTAGGGAAGTATACAAAGAATGGTATAAGCGTGAGCATGTGTGCACGCATGCCCACATGAAATGACTGTGGGAGGGTCCAAATTCATGTGGGAGCACTTAGAAGGCTTTAAAGAACTGGATCCATTTGAACTTGGACTTGAAAGATAAGCAGGGTTTTGAATAGTAGTAATGGGAAAGGGTGGTGGGAATGGCAGAGGCCCAGTCTCTGAGGCAGAAAGGTAGAGAGCAGGCATAAACAGAGAATTACATGGAGAATTTTGTAGGCACTGGGCACCCACAGTCCAGACCAAGTAGGAAGGAGGCCCTAATGGAAGACAGGCAAGTTTTGGAAAATTTGCACAATAAGGCAGTGTTGAGGGGTTCTGGGTTGAGGAGCCATATAATTAGATTCATTTCTAGGACAATAACCAGAAAAACAAAGTGCGAGATGAAATGAAAGGGCTGTAGGAAATGGGAAGCAGGAAGGCCATTTAGGAAGCCCAGAGAAGCACGGCATCGAAGGAAGAGAAGAGGAGACTGGAAACAAGCTGGCTCCTGCATGTTGTCTTTCCAAGTTTTACTCCCGGATTTTCTCATGATCTGAACTGCTGTACATATTTTTTATTTTTTACTTTGCTCTCCTTGCCTTTTTAAAAAATAACAGAATGGAAAGAAAAATTATTCCTTCTGTGTTGACCTCTACATAACAGGCAGGGCTTAATAATCTTGGCCCCCAGAAGTCCCTGCGTGTTAGAGCCATAGAGAAAACGGACGGCTCCGGTGCGCCTGCAGTCACAGGTGGCACGTGGTGAGAGCTGGTTTCATCCATCTCTGTTCCCCCTGCTGCCTCAACTGTCCTGTCCCAGCAGAATACTCCTGGTTTCCCTTCTATAATTTGATATTATATTGGATCACCGATTGGTTGATTTGGGAAACGCGGAGTGCCTCATCCTAGCTCTGGGTTTGTTTTTTTGTGTTTACAGTCATATAGCGAACATTTGCTGCTTTTATTGGTTCTGTACCTTTATACTTTTGTTCAAGTGATTACATGTTACATAATTGCTCCTTAGCGATTTTTAAAAATGAAATCTTTCAGCAGTTGGCTGACTAAGAGACCCTGCTAACAAAACATTAAGATAAACCAAAAGATACCTTCAAGGGAGCCTAATGGGTTGCGTGTGGGTAACTTGGGATGGGTATGAATCCGTTCTAGAGAAAAGGAAAATGGTGCCATATAATGTTTGTTGCCCCAGAGATTGAGAAATTAGGCACGAGCCCCATCCTCTCCTTCAAAGACAAGCCATCTCACTTGTAGATACATCTTTTCCCTTCTCCACTTCTTTATTTTATTCTCCCCATGGGATCCCAGGCAAGCACGCAGTTAGGTAACAAAGAACTATCACGAAAACATCATCTAGGTGGGGCATATTTGTTTCCATGGTTCCTGACAAGTTATGGTGAAGGAGGGTGGTGAAATTTGGGCACTGAAAGCAAATCTTTTCTCCTTTTGATGCATAAACATGTACAGAATCCCTCTGGGCAAGGGAGACAGACCTCACTTAGCGGTTCATTTAGATTCTCCATGAGGAGATACTGTTTTATTCTTCATTATAACAGGAGTCATTTCTTCAAATTGACCATTTCCCCCCTCACTTCTTTTCCAAAGTGGCCTGTTTACAATCTACTCTTGTAGATTACAGTACTCAATAGAGACAAGTGGATTGAAATTCAGCCACTGAAATGCTTCGAGACATCCCACGGAGTTGGAATGCTTTTTTCAAAGGGAAAGAAATCTGCAAATGTGTATGTACATGCCTAGGTACCCCAAAGAGCCAGCTGGTCAGCCCATAAGCGGCTCCCATTCAGAAACAACAAAAGCCATGTCGGAAACCAAGGGACAGGAGGTTGGGAACTAATAATAATTTTGCACTTACACAGCAGTTTTCATCCAGAGACTTCAGAGTGCTTTATAAACATTAATTAAATTGCCCCACAGCTCTGTGAGATGTCTGTGTATCACTTATTTCCAGTTTGCAGGGGGTGGAGGGAGGAGAAATGTATGCATGGACTGAAGTTGGAACCAGGCCATGCTACAATGCATGTGGATTGTGCACTCAGAAAAAGCAGTGGGACCTTTTTCCCTGTGATCCAAGGCTGTGATCATGTACCTGCTGGGCCAGGGAGGGGATGGTCTGGTGATAGAGTTGTCCAGGACTACTCCCCAGCAGGACCCATCCTAAGCATAAAGTGAATAGAAGACCACCTGCACCAGGCTTGAAGGGTGCTGGCAGCATCTTCCCCACCAGCTCATCACCATGCTCCAGATCCATCATTGTAGACTCATTCCTTTAGTGGGATTTGTGATGGCAAATTGGTTTCACCTGAGGTGCTGGCTCTCTGTGCATGGAAGCACAGCCAGGACGGCTATGTGGAGGGTTGTGATGTCTGGTCTACTCCATAGAAAATCCCATGATTGATCATTGATGTCTGTCCTGAATTTGCAGAAAGATGGTTTGGGTTGAATTGTGTCCTTCAAAAAGACACGATGAAGTCCTAACACCCAGTACTCATGATCTTTTTTGTAAATAGGTTCTTTGGAGATGCAGTCAAGTTAAGGTTAGGTCACAGTGATTTAGAGTGGGTCCTAAATCCCATGGCTGGTGCCCTTATATGAAAAGAGAAATTCGGACACAGACACACAGAGAAGAGGATGCCACATGAAGATAGAGGCAGAGATTGGGGCCATGCGTCCACAAGCCAAGGAATGACTAGAAACTAGACAGGGAATGAAAGAGCCTTTGGAGGGACTGCGGCCTTGCTGACACTTTGATCCTACATAACCGAGTCTGCCACTAGACTG